AGTAGGTTCCATAATCCTTTTTTCCTTTCTTTTTTTTTTTTTTCTTTTTGGTCACTTCATCTGTAGTTCGTTTTGTTTTCCTTTTTAACCCAAGAGTTGTTGAGTATTTATCTATTTCAGCGTGGTTAGATTTTCGTTGACATTTTGTTTTTCTACCCTTTTCCCCCCTCTTACTACTCCTGCTGTTTTATGGATGGAGAATGTTTCCTGCGTGGATTATACGTTTTGGAACTTTTTTGTGTCCTAATGTAATAAACTTTTATAAATATTCCATGGGCAGTTGAAGCAAATGTATGTTTTCTTTTTGTTTGGGTAATATGATATCATATTTCTACATATTAAATTGAATTGTTACTCAGATTTTCCCTTTTTATGTGCTCGATCTAAATTCTTGATGAAAGTATGTAAAATCTATTTATTTTATCATAGTCTCCTATTTCTAGTGTTTTCTGCTTTACGTATTTGAAATTCATTTTCAGTGCATGAAGTTTCATGATTCTATTTGTTGGATTGTGTTAATTCACAACATAAAGGTGCCTTCTTTGACCCATTTGATGCTTTTTGCCGTGATGGTTTTTTGCCACCTTTACTTGAGTTTTGGTAGCATCTGTCCTGTGTATCTTTATCCACTTCAGTATTTGAAGTTTTTCTGTGTTGTTTTGTTTTAGGTGTGTCTTTATCTTTTCAAAACGGTACGTGGTCAATTTCTTTTTTACTCCATCTGGAATGTTTACCTTTTAATTCATAATTAAAACTTTCACATTTATTACAATTCTGTAACATTTATTGACAATTCTGTCATTATTTTCATTTGTGTTCTTTTTGCTGGATTTGTCAAGATGTATGTCCTTTCCTATAGGAAAATATTTGAAATATCACTTCTAATAGTGGTTGCATACATACATATACGTATATATACATGTATTTTTTACCTTCTGTACTTTTGTATCATTAAAACTCAAACTTTTAAAACTTTTAAACTTTTTTAAACTTTTAAGGTGAGCACAGAATACCTTTGTAATGAAACAATAAAGCAAAACCATCTGCTTTTAAGTGTGCCTAGAATTTATTTGTTTATTCCTTACCCGTCTCCTGCTCCTTGCTCATGCTCTCATCATGGAGATCACATATCCTTCCACTGACCTCACAGTCCCTTATTACTCCTGTCCATCCTGTTTATTGCTGCCAGATTATCGCCTTAAAATACCATTTCCTTCATAGAACTCGATTCCTACTTAAAGCTGAACCTCTGCACCCGACACCCTAGTCCTCCAGGACACCCCACGGAGCCATTCCTGTTCTCCACGTGCCTGGGGACCTACTCTAGTCACACTGCTTCCCTCGCCCCCTCATTTGTCAGCATTGGTTCCTTCCTTTGCTTTTGGTTATTTTGTTCTCTACGTTCCCCCTATATTTTCGGACTCCTGCCCAACCACACAGAGTCTAGATAACCTGTCTTAGAAGATAAGTTATTCCTCTGTCCTACTAGTTTTCCATTATGGGAAGACACATGTCTTCAGGGAGCAGGAACATTCTGGTCACAAAACTGTGAGACGAGACTTCATTTTTGACCATGATGCCTTAAAGCGTTTGATGTTTATTGGAAAGGGACATTTGGAATCCGACATGGCAATGAGAAAGCATGAAATCTGGCCATTTGTAGCAACGTGGATGGAACTCGAGGGTGTTATGCTGAGCGAAATAAGTCAGACAAAGAAAGACAGATACCATATGCTTCCACTTATAGGAGGATTAGGAGAAACTTAACAGAGGACCATGGGGGAGAAGAAGGGGAAAAAATGGGGTGAGGGAGGGAGGCAAACCATGAGAGACTCTTGAATACTGAGAACAAACTGAGGGCTGATGGATGTGGGGGGGAGGGGGGCGATGGGCATGGAGGAGGGCATTTGTGGGGATGAGCACAGGGTGTTATATGGAAACCAACTTGACAATAAACTGTATTTTAAAAAAAAGAAAGAAAAAAAAGAAAAAATTCAAATCTGACAAAGAAAACTAAATATCTCCAGAACGTTGTATAATTAAATTCAACACCCCAACATCTATATTATTTAAAAGTTTAGAATACTGAAAAAAAGAAAGAAAAGGGACATTTGGACCGTGTCCTAAAATGAATTAACTTTGAGACGGTTATTAACCCCTCACCCCAAACCAAAGGTTTCTTCACACTCTTTCCTTAACCATGACGCTGGTCAATACCACCTCAGTTCAAACCTTTCCTCAGTTTCTGAATCGTCTCTAGCAGAGGTTAGTCAATATTCTATTTCCTTGAGAATTGTTTGGGGCCTATCAGAATTTAGTCGGTGACCTTGAGCTCCTCTGGAAGTTTCCATCAGCTGCTCTAGGCCTGATGCCTTAACAGAGCCTGGGCTTGCATTTCAGCCAGTGTGACCCTTCGTAGCCTAGAATGGAAGCTAAGAATCCGATGCAAGAACGCTAAGCACTGAGGACACATATCTTCTTCTCAATGCCAAGAAGTAATCCGTTCTCTATGACACCTCCTACCCCAACAAGAGAAGGTGTTTAGCATACATTTTACTTGTATTTCCCCTACCATTGCTCCCAGGTAACTCTGCTGCAAGCAATATTTCCCTCCTGAGATGGAGTTTTGGTGGATCAATAAAGCTGAATTCTTGACGAACCTCTGCCCCTTGTCAAGGCTTCAAAATATTTTTGGTTGCTACGCTATGCCTATGTTTCTATTTTTAGGACCGTAATGTAATAGTTAATTTCATAAGCACATTACCAGTAATTATGGAGACAGTATGTTTTTCTGGTTTCATGAGTGGCACCAAGTCGTCTCCCTTCCTGTGTGCATTTCTTCTTTTTACTGAATAAAACATGATTTCCCCTCCTCAAGTGTGGAATAAAGGTTTCTTCCTATCTCAGCACAGCTTCTCTTGCACATGTAGGATCCCTGGGAAGAGGTAGCTGCATTTAGACATGGGTGTTACGTCATTCGGGAAAAAACTCATCACAACACGTGCCTCTATTTTGAGCCACATTCAGCCTCCAAAAGGTTCTGGCCTCATCAGCAATGTGAAAAATAAGGGTGAACCCAGATGCTCATGCAGTATCTGTCCCCAAGTTCCGAGTAGGTGAGAAAACTCACAGGTCTGATTTAACATCCAGACTCAGGCGGTACCGATAGTTTGTCTGAGGATGGGAGGCACTTATGCGTTTTACACGACTCGTATCTTACTCACCTCACCTTGTGCCTTTGAGCACCAGCACAGACATTTGGCCTTTCACAGACTCTACTGCTTCTAGGGAACCATAATCACTTTTTCAAAACTTTAGAACAGCTTTATTGAGGTACAAGTGACATACAACTGCACATATTTGAAGTGTACGGTTTTTTGATATGTTTTGACATAATCATCTTTTGAAAAAAATTTTACCATTTTTTCGGGAGAGAGAGAGAGAGAGCATGAGCAGTGGAGGGGCAGAGAGAGAGAGGGAGTCACAGAATCCAAAGCAGCCTCCAGGCTCTGAGCTGTCAGCACAGAGCCCGACACAGGGCTCGAACTCACAAACCATGAGATCATGACCTGAGCCGAAGTCTGACGCTTAACAGACTGAGCCACCCAGGTGCCCCGACTTAATCATCCTTTTAATGTTCACATTTTCATGGACCAGTAGGAATGATTTTATGCCGACTCCTATGTCACAACCCAGGCGGTGTCCTCCCCAAAGCATAATGTTCCAGGCTGATTTTAAAGTATGCTACTGTATAAGGACCCCAGTTTCTTTGCAGGGAGAAATTGAGAGAGCCATGAAACCATACCCTGTGTTCAAATTCCAGCATTGTTAGCCTCCCAATTTAGCAACCTTCAGTTTTTTTCTATTAGCATATATTTCTTAAAATGGCTGCAAATTGTACAGCTCCAGCCAACCTCCATCACTATTCCTCAAAGCCCAGCTATCTGCAAAGAAAACTGTCCATCCAGGGAATTCAAAAGTGCAGGACGTAACATAGTTCAAATAGAATATTGGGACATTATCTCAAAATTATTCTTAATGCTTTATTTTTATGGAAGCTAGCGTTTTCTTTCTATCGTTGAGGATAACTTTAATGTTGAATCCCAGTTTGTTAAAGACCTTGAGAAGAATACAGATATTTATTATCTTAGTGCTATACCTGTTTACCTTTGGAAATAGCAATTAAGACTATCAGAAAGTGTAGCCAATGTCAAAAATTGTCAGACTTAAATTTTTATTCGGGAAGTTCAGGTGGGTTTATTTCTGTACACATATATAATCCATACTTAGTTTACCATAAGCACCAACACAAAACACCAGAAAACTAAGATAACAAACTTCAATTGCAGTTTTATGTTCAAGTTACACTTACTTACTATTCTTTTTCTCACTCGCTCTCCCACTCATCCAGGCACTGACATTATTTGCATGTTTGCTTATTTAAAAAAGCCATTTAAAGTTTTAAATCAAAGATCAACATGGATTAAGATGGCCCATCTCTGTCCGACCAATTTTGAATTTCGTGGCAATTTGGTGATGGCACAGAAAAGATCCACAGAGTCACTTTCTTCCAGGTTACTTTGTTGATAGGGCCTGTGCTGCTTCCCTCTTGGGGTATAACAAGCCACTTCAAATTCACTGGCCTGAGTCAATAACCTTTCATTTTTGCGAGCCTATGAGTTAGCTGGGAGCGAACTTCTCATTTTTTTGCTAGACTCACTAATGTGTCTACGGTTGGCTGTGGGTAATTAGAAAGCTCTGTTGATCTTGGCAGGACTCGGTCACATGTTTGGAGCTTTGCTGGGATAAGCAGGTTCCCAATCACATGGTCTTTCGTCTTCCATCAGACTAGCCTGGGCACTTTCTCATGGCGTGGTGGAGTTCCAAGAGGGAGAGTGGATGTGTGCAAAGCCTCTCAAGGCCTATCCATGTGGATCCAAGACGTGGGGTGGCAGAGGGGGGGGACCCTTCACCCTTTAATGCGAAGAGTGCAAAATTACATTGCAGCAGGTATGGAGATCGGGAATCCATTCATGGTGGCCATCGCGTGGGTCACGTGCACAGCCGTGCTGCTCTTGACGGTGCCCGCTCACATGTCTGGGGGACACTAGCACTACAGAAGGTTTAGAAGGGACCGTGCTCTTGTGGCCTAGAGATGGAGCTGGCACATTGTTATTTCCGCCGCGTTCTGTTGGCCAGAGTGATAGGGTGCTAAAGAATGAAGGTGTCACTCCAAAGTCTTATGTTGAAACCCCATCCCCAGCGTGAGGGTGTTTGGAGGTGGGGCCTTTGGGAGGTGATTAGGTCATGAGGGTGGAGCCCTCGTGAAGGAATGTTTCCTTTCCAGAGACTATCTTCAAATAGTCTCTGAGTTACTGAGAATTGTCTCTGCTCTCATGTGACCAAGTGGGTAAAATGCTCATCTCCCCTGCAAAACCAGCAAAAACAATGAATAACCACCTAGATGACAATGAGAAGAGCTCTGAGAGAGCCCCAGTGTACACAAGAGAAGTATAATAAAGAAGCGGAAAACGAGGAAGAAAACAACTACAAGACAAACAAAACAATGAACAAAATGGCAACAGTAAGTTCTCACTTCTCAATACTTTGAATGTAAATGCATTAAAGTTACCAATTAAAAGGCGTAGAATGGATAAATAAACATGCTCTAGTGATTGCTATCTGCAAGAGAGACTGTATTTATTTATTTTTATTTTTTAGAGGGATAGGGAGCACAAGTGTGGGAGAGGGTCGGAGGGGAAGAGAGAGAGAGAATCCCAAGTAGGCTCCATGCTCAGCACAGAGCCTGACATGGGGCTCCATCCCATGACTCTGCAATCATGACCTGAGTCAAAACCAAGAGTCGGATGCCCAACTGACTGAGCCATCCAGGTGCCCTCGACAAATTTTTAAAATATCCATTTGGGGTCACCTGGGTGGCTCAGTCGTTTAAGCCTCCGATTTCAGCTCAGGTCATGATCTCATGGTTCGTGAGTTCGATGCCTGCATCAGGCTCTGTGCTGACGACTCAGAGCCTGGAGCTTGCTTCGGATTCTGTGTCTCCTTCTCTCTTAGCTCCTCCTCTGCCCCCCCACTCTCTCTCTCTCTCTCAAAAATTAACAATAAAAAATAGATAAAATATCCATTTGATTCTTCTTAAAAAGCTACATTTCTGATAGTCTATATTCCTTTTTTTAAAATAGTTTATTGTCAAGTTGGTTTCCGTATGACACCCAGCAAATATACGTGTTTAAATAAACATGTTTTCAAACTTATTTTTATAAAAAAATAAGTATATATTCCAAGACAAAAAAAATAGAGTGGCACTGTCTTACGTTTTTGTGAACATATTTGTAAAAACTTGTAACTAAGACAGACTCACGTTAGAATTAAACATACGCTGGCTAAGGGAAAAAGACCTTTCATGCAAATGGTAACCATGAGAAAGCAGAGGTGGCTAGATTTATATTAGACAACATAGACTTTAAGTCCCAAATGGTCCCTAGAGACAAAGAAGGTCATTATATAATGATAGAAGTGTCAATTCAAAAGGAAGACAATTATAAATATATACATACCCAATGTCAGAGCACCTAAATTAATTAATTGATTGATTGATTAGTTATTCACATAAATATACAAAACAGACCTGAAGGCAGGAATTGACAGCAATAATAATAGTAAGAGACTTCAATGCCCACACTTACAAAATCCAGACACGCTGCAAGATATGTGGCCCTTTGTACAATTTACCACACTCCTCCTCTCACTTCAGCCCCTCCCCCTCTCCCCTTCATCAGGTACTCTACTCCAGGCAAACCAACCTCCTTCCCTCTCCTCAGAAATGGCAGACATGGTCTCACCCCAGGACCTTTGCATATGCTGATCTCGCCTGAAATGTCCTTCCATCAGACATCCACATAGCTAGTTCCTTTGGCTCCTTCAGGCTGGTGGGTTGGCAGTTTGGCCTGGACCCAGCTGGGCAATTATTCTGTTCCTGGCTGAGATCCCTCATGTGTCTGTGATGATCTGGTAGGCCAGCGGGGTGCTAGGAAGGCTTCGGCTGTAATAGCTTGGGTCTGCTCTGCATCACTTCTCACCCACCAGCAAACAAGACACGGCTTGTTCACATAGTAATCATAGGGATGCTTCCATGCAAATGTAGAACCACCGTCAAGGGCCTCTAGAGTCTTAGCTTGGAACTAACACAGTGTTAGTTGGCCAAAGTGAGTCAGAAGGCCACATTATCAGACTCAAGAGGTGAGGAAATAGATTCCCCGTAACGGGAGGAGCTTCAAAGTCACGTGACAAAGGGGCAGGAATACGGGGAGAGGACTAACTGTAGCCATTCTGGCAAGCAATACACCATAATGTGCCCTTTTCAGTATTTTTCTTCAAAGCAATAGTCTCCAGCTTAAAGGAGTGTATCTTTCGTTACTCCCGCGATTACGTTTGCCATCTCTCCTTTCCCCTCTTTACCATTTGGAAGTTCTATCAGACAGACATTGACTCACCTTTATCTGTTCTCCATACTTCACAACGTTTCTTTCCGAGCTTTGCTCTCTCCCCCGACCCCCATCCCCAGCACAACCTGAAAGTGAACTTGAATGTCATCGTCCGGCCATCTAATTTGTTTTCCTGCTGGGTTCCTTCTGCTACTTAGACGGTCGTTTGAGGGAATGTTTTCTTTTGTAATCAGGCAATTATATTTATAAGGTTCACAAACTGTTTTCTTTACAATCACACCTTTTTTTTTTCCTCACAGTAGCTTGTTCTATCCCTTCATGGATACAAATCCTTTTTTTTTTTTTTTTTTGATTCAAGTTTTATTTAAATTCCAGTTTGTTAACGTACAGCATAATATTGGTTTCAGGTGTAGAATCTAGCGATTCATTGCTTACATACAACACCTGGTGCTCATGACATGTGCCGTCCTTAATGCCCATCCCCCACACACCCTGCCCACCTCCCCTCCGGCAACGCTCAGTTTGTTCCCTACACTTACAAGTCTGTTTTATGATTTGCCTCTTTTTTCCCCCTATGTTCAGTTGTTTTCTTTTTTTAAATGTTTATTGATTTTAGAGAGAGAGTGAGAGAGAGGGCAGGGGAGGGGCAGAGAGAGAGGGAGACCCTGGATACAAAGCAGGCTCCAGGCTCCGAGCTGTCAGCACGGAGCCCAACATGGGGCTTGACCCCACAGGGTGCAAGATCTTGACCTGAACCAAAGTCAAACGTTTAACTGACTGAGCCACCCAGGCGCTCCACATTTGTTTTCTTTCTTAAATTCCGCGGATGAGTGAAATCATGTGGTATTAGTCTTTCTCAGACTTATTTCGCTTAGCATAATACACACTAGCTCCATCCACGCCATTGCAAATGGCAAGATTGCATTCTTTTTGGTGGCTGAATAATATTCCATTGGATATATATACCACCTCTTCTTTATCCATTCATCAGTCGATGAACATTTGGGCTCTTTCCATAATTTAGCTATTGTTGATACTGCTACTATGAACATTGAGGTGCATATATCCCCTCGAACCTGTATTTTTGTATCCTTTGGGTAAATTCCTCATAGTGCAATTGCTGGATCATAGGGTAGTTTTGTTTTTGTTTTTTGTTTTGTTTTTTTTTTTTAACGTTTTGAGGCACCTCCACACTGTTTTCCAGAGTGGCTGCACCAGTTTGAATTCCCACCAGCAGTGTGAGAAGGTCCCCCATTCTCCGTATCCTCACCAACATCTGTTGTTTCCTGTGTTGTTCATTTTCAAAATCCTCTTGAATCTCTCTCTGAGGATGTTTTCTAAAGTTTTCTTCTGTTTCCTGCAGGCAGCCTCTGGGGTTAGTTCCTCTACTCAGCCTTGCATCACTTTTTCATGCTGTTCCTCATCTTCAGGTAATGGGCCATTATTTTTCATCTTGCCTCTTCTGAGCTGTTCCAAGTTAATTATTAATGATCACAATGTGCATACTGTCCCTGTTGTTACTCTGGATCACATAATGTTGAGTTATCTGTTAGAGAAACAATTCAGGAGAAAATCAGTTATTGTAATTTGGAGTATCTGCTCTTGTGACTTTCAAAACGGGACTTGTGCTCAAGCACTGTGTGATTTTTGTCTCCTTGGCATCTTAATGGATATGGGAGGCCTTTCCTGATTAGCAGTCTTAAAGGACTTGCACGGAGCCCTTGCTACAGCTGCTTTGAAGCAGCTTTTTGTGAAGGTTTCCCTCCTGGTCCCCAACATGAAGTTCCTGTATTTCAAAAAGTCCATTTTTTTTTTTTTTGAGCCAGACTATTGTAAACACATCTTACAAATCTGGTGAAAATTCAGCCAGCCATGGTCATGTGATAGTGATACGTGTTGATAAATACTCAGCACTACGTTGTTTATAATTTCAAGTAATTGAAAACCTATTTGAAAATCGTTTGGTGTGTTTTATAGCATATACAGCACATATTCAGTTTTACGTGCAGTGGAAGGATGTACCATTATACTGTTTGATCCTAACCATGTATAAGTTTTTTAAAAGTGTCACCTGGGCTTAACTGGTAGTCGGGTTACATGGAGTTTTTGTTTCCTTCCATATACATTTTAAACTAAGAGGAAAAAGTTACTTGAAAAGCAAATTATGCAATATTAGCTCGACGATGTAAAAATGCATAGGAAAAAAAATCGGAGAAAAGAATGCCAAAATGTTAATGGTGATTATCCTGGCGTTATGGATGGCTTTTAAAGTATTTTCTGTATTCTTCTGATTTCTTTACTGAATATGTGGTATTTCTCAAGCAGAAAAAAAGCAGTGCGAAAGTAAATTTCACAAGATGAACAAAAACATAGGATTTATGTATTATGCTTATACAGTGTAAGTCATGAGTTTTTATCGGTATGATGTTGGTGCCTAAAATCATTTAAATAAGGGATGGCTGATATGTTTCTGGAACAGTTAGGGAAGACAACGATGGCTTTGCTAAATAAAACATATTGAGGCTTAAATGGAGACCATCTATAGGTCCACGCTCTGGCCCCAGGTCGGTCCTCTGAACCCTCAGAAGGTTTAACTGAGCATGTTACTCATTAAGCATACATCCTTTACTTTAGTATGCCTGACTGAGTGGTTTCATCGGGAAAGGTTCCATGTCTTAAACGTCACTGTACTGTCTGGAATGCCTCGTGCAAAGCTGTCCTCAGGTAAATGTATGATGGTGGCTGAAAAAGTGGCATAGCTTATTTTATGACACTGAGTGGACTGCTTACTTCAAACAGTGCACTTGCTCTTTTCCCCGTCATGGAGGCTCAAGTAATAATAGATAATATGAGGAAATCGATGCACAGAAAGGTTATGAACCTTGCCTGAGATCACGCAGCTCATAAGTGAGACGCAGGTGATTGGTACTCAGGTGGCCTTGCTCTGGATCCTGGAGTGTTTACTGATATGCACTATGTCAGCCAGCTTGACAGATTCAGCAGGTGAAAGAACAATTAGCCCAGACAGATTTGGCCAGTGTATTACTTACACAGACAGCAAAAGCAAGATCTTTATTCTCTCAGCTCCCCATATCGCTTGTCCCACGGGGGGGACCTTGAAATAAAAAGGGCCAGGTAACAGGCAACCTGTTACCTGTAGTGAGTAGCCAGGACGCGTGTATAGCCTGCAGCTGACCTCTACTATCTAGATAAAATCCGGTGAATGGGCAAGCGAGTCATGCTCACTGGAGTAAGTGGGAGATGTAAGCAAAGAAAAAGCAACAAGCTTCAGGTTTAGCTGACTTATCAGCTAAAGAGGCAAAATGCCCTGATGAGGTGGGTGAAGAGCTTGGCCTTGGTTTACTGAGCATCATGTGAAGTTTTAAGAAAGCATTGTGTCAGAGTCCCTGTTGTACCCAATCAGAGAAAAAGCTGAAATAGTTATTATAGGATTATACTGTCTGCTCTTGAGAGTTTAGAAGGATGTATTGTGGCAGTGGGCTTCTATGAAGTCACTAAAAAGTCTGATGCCCTTGCTTTGAAATTCCATTTTCGAGATGATTTCTCCATTTACCTTTCTTTCTTCTCCATTTACCTTTCCATTTAGTTTCTTAGTTTGCCTAAAATAAACCAACTGGTCCAGTTATCTCTAGAATGCAAGAGTGAGTCTATAGATAATTTCTTAATATATAACGTCGTAATATAAATCTAAGAAGCCACGTGTGAAAAATTATATTTATAAATAATGGAAAATACCTATCGTGTGGAAGTTCTCCGTGATTGTATATTTTTGTAAATATGAATAAAACCTAGTTAGGTTATGATTTGCTTCAGAGAAAAGCCTTGGAATTAACTGACCTCAAACAGGGAAAAAATATACTGGAATGCGCGCGCACGCACGCACACACACATGCGCGCACACACACACACAGGCAAAATCCTAACCTTATGACTCCTGACTCCAAGACTAACTCACTGATCTGAATGAATTATTTCCTTGCCTTTGTGGGGGTTTAATTGCACGATTTCCTTTTTTTTTTTTAACATTTATTTATTTTTGAAAGACAGAGAGACAGAGAAAGAGCAAGGGAGGGGCAGAGAGAGAGGGCGACACAGAATCTGAAGCAGGCTCTGATGTGGGGCTCGAACTCACGAGCTACGAGATCATGAACTGAGCTGAAGTCAGCTGCTTAGCCAACTGAGCCACCCAGGCGCCCCTGATTGCACGATTTCTAAGAGCTCTTTCAATTCTGATATAGTGAATCTAAGACTTTCAGAATGTACCATGGTTCATTGACTTGTTTTTTCTAATAATTCTTGAGAATAGTAACATATTACATAATGTCCTACTGATATCTCCTTGTTGAACTGTAATTGCTTGTTATTCTAATAGTGCCAAATATTGAGGATAACGAGACCCGTAGAAAGAAATGCATGATTTGTGCAAGTCACACGCTTGGGCAAATCTCAGTCACTACTTCCTAGGAGGCAATAATGGTTGTGACAAACTAACAGGACTTCAGTCCAAGCAGCGAATCATGGTCTGTAATGAAATTATGAAAAGATTCCAATTAACGAGTTTGCTATTAAACGTTTCATGTTTACAGATGCTAGCTCCCTGGGTTTTTATCGGTGATAAATATACAAGTAAATGCAAATTTGAAAAGTGCTAGGTCTTCATTTTAGGAGACATCTCCAAATCTCTGCTTTGCTTTTCAACAAATGAGTCATATCAGGGCTCTCTGGGTATTAGGAATACAGCATATGGATTCACAGTCCTGACTTTTAAGAAATGTCTTTTTAAAAACTGTAAGGCCGAGCTCTTCACTTATTTTTATTTTTTTTTAATTGACAAAGGAATTAAGAAGCAATTTCTGGTTTTATACTTCATTGCCTCTGAGCTGGCTTTCCTGTTTAATTCTTGTGCTGTATACATTCTTACTAATTTAATATTTGGAGTATAATAAAGCTAAAAAGATGCAGACATCCTGATATGGGAAATCAAAATTGCAATTAAACTATCGTCTGAGTCACTCATTAGGGAGAGATCTTTTGAAGTGTTATTGTAAGTAATAAAGTTGCCTCAGGGGCTTTCTTTCAACAGGTTCGGTTTATTTGACTCAAAAGCATTGCTTTTGAATGTGTAAT